TATATATATATATATATATATATATATATACACACACCATACATATACTATAAATATATATTTATTAAACTTTCTTTTGTACAAAAAATACTTTCAATATAATAATGACTTTTCTACAAATTACATTTATACCATAAAAATTAGAGACTGTAATTATCTTTTCTGGTTCTTTAAAACGGCTATATACTTCAAAATAAAATAAAAATTCTTTCGAAGTGATTTATCAGAGGCCCATTAGCTATTTGGGCCGTTAGACGATAAACCCGCCCATTCTGTCGGGTTACTAATGGGCCTCATGTATTGGTAAAAATTGGGTGGGCAAAGCCATTATTAGGATCTGCATCGGTATTGATTTTCAAAGTTTAGACTTTACTTGAAATATAATATTTCCATTGAGAAATTATCATTTTGTGAATTACGTAATGATAATTATTGTTAGTTCATTAATTATCTGATATTTTCTCACCCTAAATTCCACCATAGTAGCTAATTTTCGCTAAGCAAGAAAAGAAAACAAGGAGATTATTTTTTAATGTACTAGTGTAACATGTGATACGAGAATATGAGATAAGTTCGAATAATATTTTCAATATTAAAGATAAAAATTGTCTAATTAAGTGATAGTTAAATTTGTATGCAAAGGAGAATTGTCTAATCAAGCACTTGAGAATAACTTTCGCCAATAACTGTTTAATTTCTTCATGTGATTTCTCGTATTTTAAAATAATCAAACATGAGAACATATTTCTCGAATATCATATCAAACACTAAAAAATTAAGCAACGATTAAATTATGTATGATTGCTTAAACGTATTTGCATTAAAGAAAAATAACTTCCGGTCATATTCATCTAATTCCCCCATCTTGTGATTACTTGTCAGATATAAGATAGCCAAACATAAAAATATATATTCGAATACCATATCAAACATCATAAAATTAAGTTTAATACATAAACTAAAAATAGGATAAACATACCATTGATATTTAGTACCACTCAGATATAAGGTAATACTAAACCACAACAAATGGCGTGGTATTAATATTAAAAATACACAACAGCCATATTTTTCTACTTTATTCTTCTACTCACCTTAATCATTTTGACTTTGACATCACAACAAAGTCAACCAAATTGACTTGTACATAATTATTAAACATATAGTTTAATATTATTAACCTAGACTTTAAAATTCACCACTGATCGATAAGTTTTTCCAGGCTGCCAACCTGCCGGAATAACGCCGTTAGCCACCACAGTCTGGCCGGATTCCCCGGTAAGTTTTAGCGAAAAAGGCGCTACTAAGGAGGAGCCAGAATCTAGCTTCCACACAGCACCCCATGACTGTTGCATGGGTTGCCATGACTCTGAATCCAACGCTTGTTTCAAATCAACACTGTTTAGGTCTCCGTCCCCATCTTCGTACTCAACTAGAGCTGCGAAATAGTTGGAATTTGAACCTGAGTCTACGTGAAATGTCAATTTTACTCCAGGGTAGTTGCACTCCACTCTGTTTACGTGACATATAGCACGTTAAAAATCTATAGAGATGTATAATATAATGTCACTCGATTATTATCAAACGAATAGTAATTTACCGTTTGTATTGGATTTGAATAACTCCAGCGTTACGTAATTGATCAGCTTGTCCAGAAATAGCCATAGCTCCAAAAGAAGTGCCACTTAAATCAAAATGTGCTGATTCTGATAGACAAGGTCCTCCAGGACACGAATCTGTTATTACAACTCTAACTGGTTTTCCTGAACATGCTTTATTTCCTGTGCACTTTACCTGATTTTAAATAAAAACAATTATAACTATTTTTATTATTATTACTCACATACCATCTTATTCTTCGATTTCAGTTAATGATTGTATTATTTATTCTTGCTATTTGTTTTCGACATGACTTCTTTAATTATCACAAAGATTATCTCCACCTTTACAAAAGTAGGAGTAAAGCTACGTACGCTCGTGGAATTACGTCATTGGTGTACTACTTTGTGTGTTGGGAAGAAAATGGAATGGGAAAAGTGTTTGCGAAATATTAAAGTTCTATGCACCAGTGACATATAACAAGCCATTTAGTGAAAAATTGTCAGTATATATAAATTAAATTATCGCACCTGATAACAAGCACCACAACCTTTGCCTGATTTGAATAAAGAAGGGCCAGCAGCGGCTATTAGAGACGAGAATGGTGGTTGGTCCACGGCATTAGTATAACCACAAGCTCCACCTTTGGACAACAAAATAGAATTTAAGTTTATTTTATACACTTACTATATAAAAAATAATTTCATATTGTTTTATATATTTTAAACTATTGACTATTATATACAGACAGTTTCATGTCATTGTAGATTAGCTTAACAAGTTGGTGTAGAAAAATTATACACCAATTATTAGGCATTTAAATGTTACGATAAATTATTTTACATTTTTTAAAAGTTTAAAATATAACTAGTTATTTTTTCCCACTTTATTATTAGTAG